CAGTCTTTTGAAATATACTGCATTGCTCGGTCTAAGACGGCAATATAACCTCTGCTATTTCCACGCTTAAAATAAAAAATAGCGCTTTTAGAAATAATGCCATGAACCACTTAACAGATCACCCAGCACGGCAACCGCGTATTTGTAATTGCATTTGAGAAAGAAAATAATAGTTGGTAACGTCATTTTTTATTAGGTTGTTTCATTCGCACAGATTGTTTCATTCCGTTTCATTCACATGGCGGCGAAAAAATTACGCACTGCACAAAAAAAAATAAAAATATTTTTTCTCGCACACCGTCCTGGGTGATCTTTATTCGTTCGTTCATGAAATAATGCTGCCAATTTTTGTTCTCTTTGAGCCATGAAAGAGAATACGCTATCAATGAAACGATAGTGGCGATAGTATTAAAACTATCGATAGTTATTTCAAGTGATCAGACTATCGATACTATCGATAGTATCGGCGATAGTTTGACAGCTCTAGTAAATACGGTGCATGAGGACATGCAAGGGCTAAGCACCAGTTACTCAGCAAGGTTAATGAACCATCCAAATCGACTAGCGAGTGATCTTCTTAGCCCGAGATATACAAGAAGACTAAAAGCAAAGGATTTTTCCGATATTATCAAATAACGCGCAATATAATAAATTTCGATATCCGCAATATATCAATTTCGGCTCTGAAACTCGTCCTTTCCCAACACCAGTGTCGGTGCGGCTCGGAAACTTGTCCTTTCCGACCGAGCACAGCCTACTGGATTGTAATTACTTAAATATAGACAAGTGAAGGGGCGACGTGGAAACTTGTCCTTTACACTCGCCTAGGTAATGCGGCTCTGGAACTCGTCCCTTCAGACACCTTCCCAGCACGATATCCACGATCCTGCTGCTCGGAAGCTTGTCCATTCCGACAGCCGCAACAACCGCAATAAACATATATATATATGTAAAAAATAATAATCTAAGCATTGCGGCAAAAATTTTAAATTTAATGGTAGTTTGTAGGGTTTTAAAACTTATTGTTAGTTTCGAAAGAAAGATTCAACAAATAAATACATATTAGCTGCGTTCCTTATCTCCCAGAAATAGTCAGAAATAGTTCGAAGTAGCCAGATTTAGTCAGAAGAATTTTTGCTGTGAAAATATTGAAAAACGTCAAACTCAACTGAATTTAAATTAACGGAAATTAAAGAATACACGAATCTGAAAACTAAAAAAAAAAATTTTAAATGGAAGGAGGCAAAAAATAATTGATAGATATAGTAATTGTTTATCGTGCTTGTGTTAATGTGTTTTGTAGATACATATCTATTCTTATTTGACATTAGTTTTGATGTTGCTTTACTATTTTCCTGTTATACTCTTTTAGTGATCGCATTTGCTTACGCTCTTGCATTTTGACACTTTTCAGAGTTTAGTCAAAAAAGATAAGGAATGGACCTATTATGTATACAAAAAAAAAATATAAAGTGCGGTGAACAATTTCCTTTGTATGGGAGGAAATGCCTAGTACTATCAGCAAGAAAAAAGCGTTGTCAGGCAAACCAGAGGTACACTCAAACCGGAAGCTCGAAATAAGAATCAACAAAACACTCAATTCATAACAAAAACAAAACTGTCCCGGTATTGTAAATTAATTTTAAGTAAATAAAAACAAACGAAATTTTAACGTAACCACAATCGACTAGAAGGCCAGTGTTTTTGTTAAGCTGAATTTGGGTTCGGTTATACACACATACAAATGTATGGAGCACAGTCAGCGCAATAATTCATGATTCGATTAAAAATTTCAATTTGGAAAAGTGATTAATTTTATTTTGAACCCTAGTCTGGGCAGCCGCCAGTTCACAGCAGTGGAGCAGCTACTGTTCAACTGTTGATTTGTTAAATCATAATAGGTATATTGCTTACACCTGTATGTTATGTCATTGGGTTGGAGGGCTAAAGGGCTAACAATTGCCAAATTAACGCCAACTACTTAACAGCCAAATGTGAAGTGCATATACATACATAAACTAGTTATTAATTCCAATTGGCAATTTTGCATGTTGCATTCAAGAGCACGTGAGGAGGAAGACTTAAGCTTACTGGCGCCTCAGGTTTCTTTGACCTAAATTCAGGTAATATTTTTACACGCTGCATTTTTTAATTTAAAATTACGTTTAATAAAGGAATTAAGATTGATTTAAACCCCTGATGTCTAAGTTAATTCATTTTACTTGGTTGCCAAGAAACAAAACATAAAAACAAAATATTTATACATATATTTATGTTATATATAGGGTTACCATATGAGTCGAAGGAAAAAATCCGGACACTCGTAAGAGAACAAGTCCCCTTCCCGCAACGCATTTCTTGGTGGCGGTGATGCCAGCTTTTGTCCTTACGGGGACATCAACCAGCCGGGCAGAGGCACCTTTTCCATTAAGGGTCCGGACATTCCAGGTGCATTCCCTTCGTCGTAGTCCTTTAAACGTGTGCCGTGGTCGTCAAGGCTTTGCCTTGCTTTTTCACTGGAAGTGGTTTTTACGTGGCGGGTCCCAAGCCCAGTGCACAACACATTGCTGGGACGGAGGTGGTTTCGCAACCGAATACACGTTTATATAGCGAGACGCTTGCTCCAAGCAGTCACCCGCTTGCAGCCGAACCTACTGGTGAACAGACGCTACAGACTTCAGTGAGCCCTTAAACCGAATAAGTCGGAGTGGCCCCACCGAAGCTCCCTCTCTTTCTGCCGTGACCCAAGGCTCCACTCGGATTGGTTACCGCATCTCGCACATGGGTTGCTCACTTTGCCCAGAGTGCGCGAACGAGGACGCAAGAGTCGGGATTGAGTATAGCCATGCAACTGTAACTACATACCCAGCGCAACGACTATACCCCAGTAAATTAGGGACTTAAAATTATACCATCATAATCCTTGTTTAGTAGCACATGTCTTCTTATATATATTATAAAAAAAATATGAGAACAAAAGTTTTTTCTGAAATTTTTATAATTTTGCAATTCTTGAATGTCAATATTTCGCAAAAATAAGCTGATTTTAGTGAAATTGGATTTAGGTTACGTAGGTTATAATGAACAAAGTTGCATTTTCAATTTTCGTCGTACGTTTTAGTGAACTTTTAACTAATTTAGGAACAGTGTGATAATATAATAATATAATTCCCATACAAATCTAATTCTCCCTTCTGTTCCTATGAATTACTAAATTATTTAACAGAATGTATATTACTCCACCTAACAATATTAGTGACCTAGACGAACAACAGGAGCTGATGGACCTAAAAAATGTCACGAGCAAGATAAAAAAATATTGAATGAACTCGAACTCCGACCGCTGGGCTGTACAAGTATATATTAATTAGTGTTGGGAAGTATCGAGTATTTTTGAGGATCGAGTTCTTTGGTATCGATACTTTTAAGGATCGGGTATTTTTCAGAGTACTGAGTACTTTCTTTAAATATACACATGTTGGTAACATTTTCATACTTAGGGCCGTTTTCTCATCTATCCTTTAGATTACTGGCCACTTTATCGTCTCGATATACGAGTTTTCGTTTTCTCTACAGCGCATTAATTTCTCGAATTGATAAATTTTTGCTCACCCGATGCAATCTTTAAAAGTTTGTACCCAACTTCAAATTTTAGTTTGGTTTTTGTTCATGAGTCTGATATATTAGATATTTCAACCAAGGTTTTGGTTTTTTCTAACAGTTGCTCGTTCTCTATATTTGATTATATTGCATTTCCAACATTTGAAATTTTATGACGAATGTAGTGAAGTTTCACTCTTGTGCTGCCGTAATTACGGAATAACAAATTTATTTTTACCGGTAAGATAAGAAAACGAAAACACTTTAAAGTGAGGAACAATTTAACTGCCCTGTTAGTAAAGGCAACTTTACTGCTTACATTAGAAAACGGCCCTTAGTGCAGAAATCTCACAAGCTAGTAGAATTTTATTTAAACTAATATATAAAATGAATTGCTAACTGTACTGGGTACAAGTATTGTACTTGAAAATTATTGAACTGCAAATTGAGTACAATCCTTTCTGAATACCGTTAAATGCAAATAAAACTCAGTACATTTTAAGTCTATTTGACACTTAATACCGAGTACTTTGAATCGATCCTGAGTACATGTATCAAAGCGATTATTGGAACAGGGTATTTTTTAGTACTGACTACTTTCGAGTTATTTTGTGAGTACTGAGTTCTTTGAAGTACTCAGTATCGATACTTTTAAAAATCGGGTGCTGTCGATCCTTTTGAGAATCGAGTTCTGAGTACTTTTGGTATCGATACTGCCCAACACTAATATTAATGTAGGATATGCTTTCTGACGACCACAAATCCAAACGTGACCGTGAATTGTGGTGGAAACGTTGGACCAAATATTTCAATAAAAAAAATAAATAAAATTGGGCGGGAGGAAGTTCGCCGGGTCTGCTAGTAATTTGTAAAAAAAAGACAGCAATAATGTAGCATTTACCATTCAACGTGGAGTCGATATTGCTTGTGTGTGTACATTGAAATGTTCTTCTATTAACAATATCAGATTTGTAAACAAAATATCATTTGCTTGATATTCCACGTTATCTCCGGCTAAATCAATGATAATAAATAGTAATCTCAAAAAAATAGCATAAAATGGGAGACACAGCGGAGGGAAATACCAAATAAAAATAAACTTAAGTCAGACTGCTGCACTTACACAAAATCACCACCAAAACTGCTTAATAACTAGTTGGGAGAGGAAGTCAACTAATATGGCGAGAGCTTAGAGAAAAAGCTACATTTGCTGACAAAAATGTTGTACGCTTTTATGGCTGAAATTTATTTTAAAAACAGCGCATGCGTAGCTTATTTCAGCGCACCTCAACTTAACTCGCGATCAGCTGCACTTAACAATTCCAATCAATTTGCATGGAAGCAGTCAATTTTGCTCCATTGATATTCGGTGTCAGCAACTTCCAATAGCGGCGGTAATAATAAGCAACTGAACATTTTTTCAAGCCAAATGGCAGTTGGCCAATTGTTGGCCAATTTAGTCTGCGTTTGAGCAGCACTGCGTACGGTACACATTATTTGAGCGGTGTTTAGGTTTCCAGTGAATTGCTTAACAAGAAATGAGTAAATACATACAAACTTATTTGTTTCCTTAGTTGCGATACATACATACATAAATGTTGAAAAAATTGTGAAAAAATGTAGTAAATTTGTACGCGTTTCCGGAAATCTAATATGATTGTTTAAATAAATTTAAAAATTATGTGTTTTGAAAAATTTTCCTTAAACGAATTTCGTAATGCCAATTGCATATTTTCCACTGCCAGTAACTTTGAATGTTTTCTTTCGAATACCAAGTGAAATGAATAAATTGAGCAAAAATTAAGTTAATGTAAAGATAGCACAAAGATATTGAAAAGTTGGTGAAAATTAGGAAAGACACAACAACAAAAATACGGTCTATATATGTTAAAACTATTTATCGTAGTAGTGTATGCAATTTTTTGTGTTTTTTTTACCTTTTGCTTGCACTTTACAGCTGCAGTGCAGTATGCAACAAGATAAGTGTCTACGTACGCACACAAGCACAGCAAACGTACATATGTACAAGCATTTACAGCAAAAGCTAAGCCACCAACTACAAATGTACAGATACTCTACGTACTTATATATATATATATATATTTATATATACATACGTACGAATGTGTTCATATGTACATACATATCGTCGATGTTTTTGCAAAACCGCCTATCTTGCGACACCCAAATTTTACAGGGTTTTCTTTGAAGGCATTGCGTTGACAGGATGTATTTTATATAGCTATTATTTACCAAATCTCTGGTTTTAAAAACGATTTTAAGATTTTTATGCATAAATCTCAGGAGTTCAGGGTTACCAAATCTCATTTTTGCCACAACAGCGATTTAGGCTTTAGGATTTTGCAACTGGACGATGGGCGGTTTTGCAAAAACATCGACGATATATGTACATTGTACGTACATATTTAAAGCAGTGCGATCTGAAACAAGGGCGTGCTTTGGAGTTTTAGTTTCTTATTCAAACGCTGCTGTTGGTTGCATGCGAAACTTTATCCGATCATGCGCTTACTTTTGCATTTGTATGCATAAGTGCATTTCGTTGTGGTTTTCTCATTTCTTTTATTGACTCTCTTCATTTGTTCCAAAGCTTTTTTTCCACTGAACACATATTTCTGCCGCGGATTTTTGCTTGTGTGGTTTATAACTAGACTATATATGTAGGTAGATATGTATGCATTCAAGCATATATTTGAAGATACATACATGCGCTTGTGTATATAAATATCTTTATGATAAAATATAGATTTTTGTGCATAACAATATCAAATGATGCGTGCTCAAGTTTTTAATGCTATGTTATTATATTTATATTTTTTATTTCAAAAATGGTTTTATGTGTAGTAATACAATTTAATAAAATCGTTAATATAAAGAAAAAAACAGAAAAATGCTTGTTAACAGTGTGGAGAAGTGTTAAATAAAATTCTCACAAAAATACAAAAACACAGTGCAATAACCAGTCAAGTGAAACGAATAGCTGCTAAAAGCAACAACAGGAAGGGATTTAGGAGAAAAGCAAGCAATACCAGCAGTAGCAACGAAAGACTGAAGTAGCGAACTTGGATTTGAAATACTCATACCGTATCTACAAAAGGGTGCTGCTCATTTGAAAAAAATTTCAGGTAAGTTGAAAAACAAAACTTTGCATCCAACACAACGAATCAAAACAAGAAACAAACAACCGACAAGCGATGAAATCTTGCGAAACCTACCAAATGACACAATAGGCAAATTTGCATTCCTTCCGCCCGCCCGCTTGATTACCGAAACGGCCTTCAAACCAGCTGTGAAAATGCAAATTATTCGTAGCAAAATACGCTGTTCGCTGCTGCACTTGTGCCTGCATTACATATTTCTTACACAACAAATACAATAGTCAAAGAATACGAAATCACAAGTCGACACTGTTACATGTGTATGTACATACATACGCACTACATACACACTTAAGCATATTATATGCATGGCTACAAATAATTGCGTATCTTGAAAATTAACATTACTGCGGGCCCTTGCAACATACAAATTACGCACACATTAAAAGTTTCCAAATTTTTCAGGCATTGCTAATTATGCCCCATTGTGTGGCATGTACCAATCGCCCTTCACAACCAATTCAACTCTAAGATATTTTTCGCGGTTTTGTTCTTCGTTTAAACTTAACTTCAAATACCCATAGAAACGTGTTAGTTATGAAAAATTGCAAATTTTAAAGTCAAATATATGTACATACATACATACAAATATACATAAATATATAAATTCAAAATAAGAGATGCAATATTAAACACGTTGTAAATATCCATCCATGTCCGTACTTATTTAAGTGTGTGTATACTACATATTATGTTTGGCGTGGTGGGCCGCTGTTTTGTGTCAATGTGTGCGCCGGTGCCAACTGCTAGCAGCGCGTCATTATCAGCGTTGCCGCTTTGGTAATTTTTTTAACTTTGGTAATTTTTTTCCTACGTAAGTCTTTTCTCTTAAGTTTTTAATACTAACTTATTACTGATAAAAATTTAGAACTTTGAACCTTCTTACAATTGCACAAAACAAAAAATTTGCATCTTAAGACACCCAAAAATTGACGTAAAAATTTGACTTGACAACACAGAAATTTTAAACCCCAATGCCGCAACACTTTTGTATACCTTTCACAGTAGAGGTGGGGCTTCCGCCCTCTTCTCCGGCAACAAAAAAAGAGAATTCTCACTAGTAAGGCTTGTAATCCCTAAGCGTGTCCGAAGGAAGAAGCAAGCGCGACCAGCTAGTGAACCTAACAAAATGCATACTTTCAATGGCTTGGAAGAAGCTGGTATTGCATTAACTGGATTGAGAACCAGAGCTTCAGGCATAGGAGGAGTTATAGCTTGTGGCTCAGGAATTCCATGTGTCCATGGTTACCATGCCCGGCAGCTCCGCAGAACTTTGTGAATCCATTGACATAACGCGCTCTTACTCTGCTGCTATAATTGCAAATGCATTAGAATCCATAATTTTAATATGGACATGATGAGTATTTTTTTAATTCCTTTCCACTCTGTTTTCCTTCATTCAGCTGTCTTTGAAAAACTACTGATAGCTGGCAATGCTGCACATTTTTCCGCCAGGGTTGCAGCATGTCGATTTGGCGTTTTTCGTAACGTAGCTACGAATTAGGAATTACGAAAATTCGGGTTCTAGAATAAGGGTTTTAATATATGTTCGCAATATAGCAATTTAAAGAAACCACCAATTTTTCCCAATATGGCGGCTCGATCACAGCGCCTACAGTCACACAAATCAGGTTTTTGGATCACTTTTACCTGCTGGAACCAATGCTGAAAGAAAATAACTTTACAGGACTAATTACAAATTTGCCATTAAATACGAATGTGAGCCAATTATAAAATTGTAAAAGTAAATTTCGTCTATCGTTTGACGATGCATTTGCTGGTTTCATGTTTTAATTCATGTTTTGGTTTTAAGTTATATAAATACTTTGTGTAAAAGACTGTATGTTAAACACCTTTTAAATGTTTGTAAATATCTGAGCGATTTTTTTGTGTTGTGTTTTAAAAATATTTGTGAATTGTTATAGTTTGAACACATTGAAAAGCACGACCACAGCTGTAAATTGTTCATCTTCATTATCTAAATGCTTTGACGATGGTGATATGAATTTTTTGAACGCGGAGGAACTCATCTGCCGCTCGAAAAATATGAATAAATTTAAGCTGGCCACAATCCCAGTCGTGGTGTAGTTCTGTCGTCGCCAAAATAATTGTCTACATAAAAATACGTGGAAAAATTATTTTGCAGCTGGTCCATAGCTCGTCATTTTCAAATGGTAAAAAATTAAAAATCTTTGTGGCAACACTGGTCATCATAGTTATCAAAACCGCAAACGCCTGAAGCAACAGCATTGCCGCTATACACCAGTGGCAACAACACAAAACACTTTCGGCTCCGCCTGCTTTGATGCGCAACAAGAAATTGTAACAAATTTTCGCCAATTTTACTTTCAATTGCAACTCGCTTTCCTTCTCACTTACATTTGCTGTTTTTCTTGTAGTTACATACTTTTTTCGGTTAGTCGAGTATATAAAAAACATATGCACATGTTAATACCTATATTCAGTACCTACAACTATTGTTCTCTTTTTTTCAAAAGAGTTTTTGTTACACCTTTTGGGTCATCTTCCATTGTTGTTTGTACCTTACATAGGTGCCTTTTTGAATTCATTCGCATTGTAAAATATTTGATTTTGAATGCTTTTCATAGTTATACTTACCGTAATTTGATACGCTATTGCGTAAGGTCACGTATGTTTTTTATTTTTATTTATACATATGTATATATGTATGTGTGCATGTGTTATTGCAAATTAGCAATAATAACATTTTAATTGAGTAGTGAAATAATTTGCCGCTCAAAACTTTCTGTAAATATGTTAAAACTATTGTAAAATGCAAGCACAAACACAGATGTGGTTTAAAATTTAGATGTGCCGTTATCTTTTGCATTGTGTACACTAATTATGATTTATTTCCCAAAAATTATGTTAGGTACATTAAACCATACAACACACGTGTTCATATTCCAATTTTCTGCTTAATATTTCCCGTGTACAATTAATGGTGGTTTTCAATTATTACTAACATAAATCTAAAATAAGCTAATAGTAAAAACAAATATTTTTAAAGCAAGCTTTCTAAATATGAACCAAATTGGACTATAAATACGGGGTTTTCAAATAACTTAACTCCTGCGCCACCTATCGGATTAACGTATTCGGTATTTCGTATTACATTGTCATCGGGTTCTGAGCCAACTGTGAAGTTTCAAGTCTCTAGGTCATCGGAAAGTTGGTCAAAATTTGATTGCAAGATTTGCTCCTAGCAGACATACCTACATATATACCAAGGAATGAAACCGAAACCCAAACCGAAACCGTAACCGTTTAAAACCGTTTCGTTTTTCAAAACCGAAACCGAAACCGTAACCGTTATCTTAACCTAAAAAGGAACGATACCGAAACCATTTCAATCACAGGTTTCAATCGGTTTCCAGAAATTTACAAAAATAATAAATCAAAATTTCTTTGAAATAAATGATTTATTTAACCAAAATCAGCAATATTTTGCTAAAATTCTTGTTAAGTAGTAAATAAGTATGTCAAGGTAACTTTTCGCAAAAAGCTACTAAAATGGTGCCTAATAAATTAAATCTCCGATCTGGCATCGGTTATTTGGAAGAAGTCATTTTGATTTTCATTTTCACGTGTATAGTTGTAAAGGACACAGAAATGAAGGGGTTTCATTATTATGTAGTAAATATATGACGAAAATAACAATTATANATATATACAGAGTAATTTAAATTAATGCTTGTAAAAATAACAGAAGTGGCAGACTTATAATATTTTGTTAAAAACAAAAATACATATACAAATTGGAGATTGGTTTTGGTTTGATTCGTCATTACTTTACGTAAGAAAAACTTTGTACGTCAATTAGAGTTATCTATTTATGCCAAGCAGTCTTCCTAATCCCTTATTTAAATCTTTGGAAATATTATGGAAGATTTTCTAGTACTCACCACTATTTGAAGAATTTTGTGAGTTAAGTGGATTGGCCAGAAAATAAGAGGCATTTTGAGGAAAGTGTTATCCACTTTAATAAAAGCAAGAATGTCGATAAAGTCCCTAATACTAAGTGGTGCCACTCGTCGATTTATGAATTAATTCCTGCGTCTGCTTCAGCGTGAGGCGAAAATATAATGAATTATATGTAGACGAGGTATTACCGAAATTATTTAGCTTAAAAAACATAATGCTCAGCACTTCAAACCCAAAATTAATTAAAAAAAAAATACGCGAGAACACGATCGCTATATGTCGATTTTTACGGCACGAAAAGGTTATCTATTAATTTGGTATATATGGAATGAGGGAAAGCTAAATCGTGGTCATCCTTAATCGAATATATCTTTTTAGCAGAACAAAGGAAATTTCTATAAAATCCGTTCCCTGATTATTACAAACATATGGGCCAAATTTCGGAGTTATATATGCATCGGTGCACTTTTATTGCATTTTTAAGTCGTTTTTGAGGTTAGGTTTATATGGGAGGTATGCTTTAAAATAAATCGATTTCGCTAAAACGAAATGGAAAACACTCATTGAGAACATATTTTTAATGCAACTTGAATAATTATAATGTTTAAATGAAAGAAAATAAAAATTTTCTAAATTATAAAAATATTTTTTTATAACCCTAATGTCACTACACTTACAAAAAAAATCAACTTTCGTCAAATACTTTAAGAGAAAATGGGTTTTGAGAAAAATATTGCTTAAAAATATATTTGCTTATAAAAACTTTGAAAATTAAAATGTTTCAAAAAAATTCTCAGAATCCCCTTCACATCTATAAGCCTCTCTACCCACAAATTTTTCACGCAAAAATTCGAACTTGTCTGAAATCCGAGGTCCAGCTGAGAAATTTTCACCCAGTTATGAGTTGTTAACTACAATGACGACTCTCAAATATTCGCATACATTTACACAAAAGCCATTTAACTAGCTGTCGTTTGATACCAATATCGTACGTCCTTAATAGGTTAATTACCGTTCTTAGC